TTTCCAACAGTATCATCTTCCTTTAACGTTACTCTCCTCACAAAGTTGTCGCCAATAATGGAAAATCCGGTACCATTTACAGTACCGGTTGAAGATTTCGAGTACTATAAAATACAGCAAAAAGTGGATTTTGGTTGGAGATGTTTTAAGCGCTCAATTTATTGTTTTTTTTTGGTAGATGCAGTTAAGTGACCTTTTTACACACCGAATTAACGAGAAGAAAGAATCATGTGCGTATGAAATCTCTTCTTTTTTTTGTTGCTTTTTCAAAAAGGATAACTATAAAGAAAAATATGCATCTGCAACTATAAGTATCTGGCTACAACAATTTGCAGTTGAGACTCCAATTCGTCTTATATTCAATACCTAACTACTACAAAAAAAAGATTCAACATTCAAACACTGTATTCAATCCTATACGAGGACTTCTTGGATAAAAAAAAATATCATTTAATTCTGAGTGTTTAATACTGAATAGAATTACTGAATTTTATTAACCAATTAATAAAAAAATTATACTAAATAATTAAATAATAACTAACAGTACAATAGAATTTTAGGTATTAATAAATATTCAAATATGACATGTTTAACTAATTAAATTCCTAATCAACAAATAATTATACACCAATAATTAATTTAACTTGACAAATGAAATTATTAGTTTTTTTTTGTTTTTGGATTTTTTTAAATTATTTTTTCATTTTAGTAAAAAATAGGGCCGACTGTGAACCAGAGGCCTGACCGGCCGAAAATCTCAGTCCGTTTAGCGGTAGGCATAATATAATAAAATGATTAAAGTACATGTTATGAAAGAAATCTAAAAGAAAAAAATCTTTAGACCTCAAAGCAAGAACCTCACATCAACCACATAATCTGTGAATGATTCTCCCCCTCCGAAGCTCCATAGTGCTGCCAAGTGCCCTTCTAATTTGTGGATTAAACCATATCGATCCTGCTACACCCGCGTGGCCGCACAAGATAACATAAAAACTATCGCTTAGAATTAATTCTTTTAAATGCCTAATATTACATTCGAATGGATCCATGAAAATGGATAATATTATTGTTGAAGGAGATTCCACCCACTTGCACGCTTCTAACCGGTGCTCCTCATGACTGCAAACTTACAGAGTATAAAATTGACACTAAAATATCATGGTAGTCGAACTCAAGTCTCTCAAATTTGGTGTTAAAAGCTCAAACCAATTGCATGGGGACGGAGCAAGTGGTAGGGTGGAATGAACTACACCCTTAATCATAGATTGAGCATTCAAATCTCGGAACGAATATAGAGCAATTTTAAATATTTTAGTAGAACCGGCCCAAATATTTGGTTGACCCTAATGCGAAACAGAAAAATGGGCCCCGAAACATCATATCTATAAATAATTTTTAAATTTTTTTTTTTTATATTGTATGTATATTAAATCGCGTGTTCGAAATTCAAGTTACGTCTAATCTAAATCGGAGAAACCATTTCACGACGATAAAACTCTAATCAAATTACCACTTGGCCCCACTTTTGTTGATATGTAGAAGAATTTTCAGTTATATAGCCATTATGAGAATTGATTCGTCCACCAAGAATTCTTGTCTTATCAAGAGCCTAACAAACAATAAATTTATTATATTAACATTCTATAAGATTTTATTGAACTTTAGACAGATTCAAACTCACTTACATGAATGGCACACTTACATGAGTCGCCATATGAAGTGGAATTTAAATTTTGAGATTTTGATATCATTTATAACATTATATAATTATTAATGAAAATATTAAAGTCTAAACTTTTATTTACTTACTAAATAAACACAAACCCAAACGAAAATTATATACTTGTTAGACTTGAAGAACATGCAGTAGTAACAGATGATTTTAAAATATTAGAGCATGTAATTGTAAGTAGATGGCTAGATACAGAACACAATTTTGCGAGAAAAAAAGGCCCTTTTCTTTTGTTCAAAGCAACACTGCTGACATTTCTTTTAGTAAAGTTATAGTTTTCTTGTTTCTTGGGTTTTCCTTAAGTTTCTATCTTGGGCTTTTGTTTTTAAGAAAAACTCGGTCAAAGTAGGTGATAACAAGATGATGCTTAAATGATTTCAAGGCCCAATTTTGACCAATACATACATTTAAAAAGTCCAGTTGAAATTTTAATCAAATTCCTACTTAAAATAGGCAGCCCTATTGGGCCCTCTTTTCCTCCGGACCCTGGACAGTAACACCGTTCATCCCACTCATTAAGGTGCCTACAATTCAATGAGGAAAATTAGTTACTGTTGAGCGACAGTGGACAACCTGCAAATATTAAAAAAAAAAAAAAAAGCTCAAACCACTTGCTGTGAATCTAGAAAATAATTGACAGTAGGCATGGCCATGGCTTTGGAACTCACGGTTTTCCGTTCAAGAACCGACGCTTCTAAAATTATAATAATGCGAACCAAAACTGAATTTCGATACTTCGTTTTGGTTCCTTTTTTAAAGGTTTAGTTTTGATTCGACGGTTCTGATGTATCACAGTTTCATAATATTTATGCATTGATTTTGAAATTATATGATTTGATTCTGACTTATTTTTGGTTCATTGACTCCTTTTTAATTGTGAAAATTTATAAAGAACTTAATATATAAACTGAAAAACTCTATAGATACATAATGGATATATTCCTAATTTTATTACTCCTTCCGACTTTTATTATAAGATACTTTGATTTATTATAAGTTTCATCTAGTAGATTCTAACTGAAATAAACCTTAAAAGTGTATTTTCACATTTATTATGTTCTCCCATTTACTATAAAATATGTTAAAAATTTTATTTCAATTGAATAAATTTACTAGGGGAAATTTAGGACAAATCAAAATACCTTACAATAAGGACCAGAGAGGGTAACATATAAAAAATATTAGTAAATAGACAATATTATTTAAAAATTACACAAACAAATCATGCTTAAAAAAATTATCTAAATAAAGTTAAGATGGTTTATCATATGTTAAAAGAAATTCGTTTAAAAGAATCAAATGGTTATAATATAATTATTTATTATTTATATTAAAAAGAAGCACATGGTTATAATATAATTTATAATTATTTTGAACTGTGATTAAATCCGGCAATTCCTTTTTTTTAAAAAAATCCCCCGAATTATGTCCCAAAGATTAATATCCTCTCTAGGTTTTGTGTAAGGACAAAAAACCCCTTGTTACTAGTTAATGGACAAAACGACCCCTCTGCACTACTACATATGTATGAAGTAAGAAAATTGACATATGTAAAGTCTAAAAAGCCCCTGTTTCTTAATCAAATTTTCTGTTGACAAGGTTACCCTCCCCTTGGAGGTTATTGAATCAAATTTCTTATGTATTGTCCATTCAAAGCAACACTAACAACACCATTTGTGGCAAATATCATTTCCACGAATACTCTAGCACCATTTTTAGGAGCAGTACTAACAAGTAACAACACCATTCTAGCTACATTACTTCCACCGGCACCATTGCTATTAACTCTATCCAACAACACTTCTTGCAGTTGCACCAATTTTTTTAGACCCATTCTTGTTTTTCTCACATCACTAACTAGAACCAAGGGTCCAAAATAGAAGGAAAAGATTGAATGAATATATCCAAATAAATTTTAAAAATTTGTATTAATTTTTATTTCCAAAGATCAATGTCCAGGTATCCTTAATCTTAATCATCATGAACATACGAGGAGTTATCTACAATTAGATATAGTCTACTTCTATTTTTTCTCCAAACTCTCATGATTCCCCCCTTTGAATTTATTTATTTTTTGGAGTTGGCTTCAATTGCTCCAAAAGCAGCAGGAAAATAGTTTCAAACTTTCAGAGTACGAGCTCGCCGGAAATGGTGATGGTGGGTGGATTTAGATTGGTGTGATTGAGCTCTAGTCGAAAAGAGATGGTGAGACTTTTTTTTTATTTTTTTCATTAAAGATGTGATTTATCCACTAATAGACAAAGGCTGAAATCGAGGAGGGGAAATAAAGGTGGCGGGGGAGTATGAGAAGCATGGTGGCGGCCGGTGAGCAGGGTTTGGGAAATGAAACAGAGCAGAAATGAGGTTTGTAGTTTGGATTCAAATGGGCCGATTTGGATCAAAGTTGAACCGATCCATTCTATTCGAACCGATCCACGAGTCAAATGGAATGTTCTTAGTGTAGAGAAGGGGTAATCAACAATTTTACAATTTGTAATTTCTGTCTAAACCGTGATTTTTTTGTCTTTTCACAATTTTGGACCATTGACATTCAGTTGACTGGCTGTAAGGGGGGGTTTTCGTCCTTACACTAAATCTCGAGGGGGCAATAGTTTTTGGAATATAGTTCGGGGGGATTTTTGTCCTTTTCCCAAACCAAAAAAAAAAACTAAAACCATAACTAAACCTTCATCGTATATTTCGATTACGGTTTGTCAATTATAGTTCTAATTATGACACTGTAACTGTCAGATCGGTTTTGGTTCGTTTTCGATTAAAACCGAAACGCGGACACGTCTAGCTGGTAGTATTGATTTTGGAACAATAATTTCTCTTCCTTAAATATCCATGTTTTAAAGTTGGGTGCTGAAAGAGGTACGGTTGCACATTTAACTTCATTTTCGCCAGGAAGTTACATGGCTTTTCAATGATCTCATTCTTCTGGGTCTGCCTGTTTGGCCGATCAATGGCTGTTACTGATATTTCCTCAAATAGAACAAAAAAAAGAGAAAAAAGACTTTAGACATTTGATCAAATATTGGGAGAGGTAACCTGGCCATCTCACCCTAATCTATCCCTGAAAAGTGAAAACTATATTGATTGAAATTATAACACAACGTAGAATATGTAAGTAAAAAAAAAATAAAATAAAAAACAGATTTAATGCTTGAAATGGAAAAAATAAATAAATAAAATCCACTTCCTCGGGTGCTTTTGACAGAAATAATCTCCCAAACACATTGAGTCAGAATATGAGCTCTTAACGTAGTCATTGCTGCCTCTGAACTCCTCCATTGGAATGCAGATAAATCGAGACGGAAACAACACTGCAAAGAAAAGAAAAGCCATCGACTTTTAAGAGATTTCTTGTGATAAATTTCTCGAAAAGTGAAGGTGTTTACAGCAAGAGAACATGGATGGAGGATGTCTTACATGGAACCCAGCAAGAATGCCGTAGAGAATTGAAACCCGAAAAAAAGGAAAGACACAAATGCTGTCAACAGCATTGCAACTGATGTGGCATACACCTGAAGAAATATGTTCAAGTTCACAAGTCAAGCATTGAGAAAGTACACGCATAAAATACACCTAGCATTTATGACAATAAACATGACCGTCTTTGAGGACCTAAAAGCACGGTTAGACCAACTAGCAACAGCACAATGAGCGAAAAAGTACGTTAATATAATCATTAGATCAGAAGTTAACTTCAATAGCTAAAACTTTCGATTTTGACAAAAAGCAATCTCACAAATTGCAAACTGAAATTTAATGATCGGGTAAATTTGTCACAATAGCAAAGCATAGCTCTGGAAGTTAATTTCTGCCCTGACGATAACATCAACCTATATTTATTAACTAAAACAGAATAGTGGTCCCAATGCCAGGCAAGGTGGACTCATCCTCGTACAACCATCAATGCCAATTTCACCTCCGGCTAGCATAAGTTAGTTTCAGTTTCATGACAGTGAAGATGGACACAACATAATTACTTCTTTAATCAACAATCCAAGTATGTGACTACCCCCCACCCACCCAAAAAAAAATAATAAATACATAAAAAGTAGCTAAGCTACAATAACCCAATGGAAAAAAATCATATGAACTAATTACATTTAAGTCACAAACCACAACCTCAGAAAGCGTACATCAGTTAGTAAGCAATTCCAATGCACAAAGGGATGCATAAAGCAAGTGCTAACCTTCACAATATTGTCGGCATATTTCATGACCATTGATACAGCAATCCCACTGCAAAGAGCAGAAAAGGATAACAAATATTAATAAGCTGTATTCAACAATGAATTATGACAAATACAACCATTACTGTACAGAAATGACAAATCTGACTGAAGACCGAAAAAATTTAGGGTGAAATTTTTGATACCTCAGTGCATGGTTCAAAATCATGAGAACAGTAATCAGGGAATACCCGTGAAAGAATCCCCTGCACAAGAGCCAAATGCATAAACCATTGAACTTAAGAAGAATATCAATGTCAAACATCCAAAATAACTTAATTTATGGATGCCATCTTCTACTACTCTTCAATAAACATTAGTTGATAAATGAGAGATACATGAAAATATAAAAATTACTTCTCAACGACGGCGTCAAAATCTTGAACAAGTATTGCAACAACATTGAAGATCATCCCAAACACATACAACCAGAAGTTTTGCACATTTATATTCCTAGAAGGTCGTTTTTTCATGATAGCCTGCCAAAAAGCAAAACATAGCTATTAGCAGCTAGAAGTATTTCAACTTACTTGGTTCTGCATGATGATACTAATTTATAGCCATAAATAAACACTAATCTTAGGACGCTGTTCATTAACTCCGAAGAATCCCTTCATGAAATTCGTTATCTTTTTTGCAGTGAGCAGGAATAATTCTCCAAATAAGAATTAGAAGACAAAATGAAAAGTATTTCTGTTACCAATAGAACAGTATTACCTCCGTGTATACTCCAGCAAAGCCACTAAATAGAGCCATGACCTGAAAACACACCCGAATTCAAACTAAGATGCTGGGAACTTTCATCAAGCAAATGAAGGAAGGCATTAATTTATTGTTCAGAGTTAGCAACTTACGATTGCCATCAACCAACCTTGAAAAGGAGTTTGAAGGACACGGTCAGAACTGCACAAAAAGAAATGTCACTCTGCGCAGAAGGCATATGGATGGAGAAAGAAAAAGCAGAAAAGAAAATACCACCTGAAAAAAAAAGAACAAAACACACACACAAGTGTACAATCGACAAAAGAGACGCGCACACACATTAACTTATAACTACAAAAAACACATACACACATGAGCACTAGTGATACTTTATAATCTTCTACATAGACAATCACAAAATAAATGAACTTCTTGGTTTGTTAACAGGTAGCATCATGGCAACTGAAAATAGGGCTTAAACACTGCAAGATCAGAATGCTTCAAATGAAAACCTAATAGCACTTACCTCGGATCCAGTTGGGCAGTGGTGCAGCCTGCACACAATAAAATGAAGGCAGCCCACTGAATACTACTTAACCTACAGAAACATATAAAAATAACTGAATCATGAGGCAGTACAAAAAGTTCAAATGATTAGCACTGAGAAAGACACGGGGAAAGAACATTTACAACACCAGACAGAGATAAAACAAGTGCCATTGACCATATAGATTTACCTTCTTACTTCTAGCCATGAATTTCGAACTTACTTTATGCTAACCACACATCATGTGACTACTGCTAAAAGTCATATTACTATTCGACGAATAAAAAGCCAAAACAATCGTTTAAAATTTTATAGAAAGGCTTAAAGTCATATTACTATTCGACGAATAAAAAGCCAAAACAATCGTTCAAAATTTTATAGAAGGGCTTACTTCTTTTTTAGAATAATGCGATAGAGTATGCCTGTGCTGATAATGTTCAGATTTTTCAGTATCTGATATCCTGGAGCATCAACATATTGAAAGATGTAATACTGCAAAATACAGGAATCTTTCAGTCGAAAGAAAAAACATAGAGCAGACAATATAGAGGCTTCAATACATGCTGAAATGAAATACTTTAAACCTGCCTGTAACAAATTCTTTACTAGGTAAAGAAATGCAGGAATCGGGTAAACAATGACTTCATCCAGCGTAGTACTTAACCTGGAAGAATGAATGTCACCTCAATAACAAAAGAATCAGAGAAATGATTAAACCTTGTTGCTTAGGTTCCGCTACATGGAAAGTTTTAACAAAATGTTGGGAAATGAGATTCTCTCAAAAGAAATGACGATAAAATTCCTCTAGAAACTCAGCCATCCACTAATCAAGTTAGTATTGCCTCCGCCACAATTCTGGACATGAAATCTTTTTATAAAAAGCTAGTCAAGTTGCTGTCGACTAAATAAGTTTTTGTTTTATTTTTCCCATCAGGGAAAATAATAAAAGAAAAATACAAACAAAAATACTGAATGAGTTCACTGAAGGTTATTATCTGTAGTTGCTCCTTAAATATTAATAATAAAAACAGGCCTGCAGAAATAAACCTGTTATCTTCAGTAACTCCTTCGCTTCTCCAGATTCTTGCCAGGGCTGCAAGGGATAATGCACACTTGAGAGCCTCTACCTAATTAAAAAGGATGAAGGGTCAAATCCCAGAAGGAAATAGGGACGGAAACCCCAACACCATAAATTGCAAAAACGTAGGGAAAGAACCCATCCAGCCCATTCAGGCCCGGGAGAAAGGGATACAATTATTTCACCAGAAAATTGGCAGTGGTAACACTGTACTCGTACTTGCCAGCTCTTTTGGACCACACAATTAGTATAGCTTGTGAACTTGTAAGGATAGTCAGCGCAGCAGTAACAATGGACCTGATTCATCAATTATAGCCAAAGGTAAATACTTGGCCGTGCAAACTAAGGTCTAAAGCAACAATTATAGGCCAAAAAAGAGTGATTACTTGCGTTTCCACTTTGTTCCTTCCATGTTGAAGGGCCACAATGTAATGAAACTATTTACAATGCCTAAAGATGGAAAATCGTGCATATTATCCCAAAGACGAATCAGTACCCACTTGCGAATTTAGCAGGTGAGAATAAACCAAAGTTGCAGAAACAGAAGGCTACCAGTTGATTTGTCACGTAAGCTTTCCTTATCTTCATTTACTTCCAGATCAACATCATCTTTGTCCTAATAAGGTTGTGATGTTGTGATGGTAAGCCATTTAAAAATTAAGGAGAAGAAGAAATATATCAGAAAGAATGAATAAGTTTTTTAAAAAATAAATTAAAAAAGAAAAAATAAAAGAAAGAAGCAGAAATACAGAACCAAATGCTAAAAGTAACGATCAGTTTAGCGCATCAACTAAAAACCTACTTCATAACCTGTTTAAGAAACTTCTTAGCCGAATTAATTCAACGTGCATGAATTACATAATCTAATAAAAATAAATAAAAGCTCAGGAACCCTGAGCACGAGATGCGGATGCGCAAAATCAAGTTCGAATCAAGCAAAACTAGCACGGCCGCATTACCTCACTAGAAGAAGCCTAAATCTCGATTAACTCATAACAAAGCAAGCAAAAGACAGCAAACAAAACAATAATGCAGTAGGCAGAAAGACGAAGAAAAGAATTGAAATCCAGGGCTTTGCTCCTTCATTCGATTACCTCGTCCTTGATTCTCCTATATTCCATTTGCTTAGTCGGCCGGACTGCTGTTGTTCCTCAGTGGGGCCGGTGATCAGAACTCCGGCGACGAGATCAAATCAGACCACATGAACTGTGAAGGCGGAGGATGAAAGGAAGTACCCACCCGGGTCGGTATAAAATTCACTTCATCGAGTCCAATTGTCAAATTACACTCGCCAGGACTTAGAAAATATCGATTTGACCCAGAACTTTCATCCCCTCATCAATTTAATCCAAAATAATTCTCAGAAGATAATTTTATCTGCAAATTCCACTTTTTGGCCAATTCATTCCATTCACTTAATTTGAACCTTATTTCATTAGTTTATTAGGCTCCGTTTGGTTAGATTGAATTGCAATTGAATTAGAATTACAATACTATTGAATTGAAAATGAGATATTAATATTGTAATTTAATTTCAATTTCTTTGTTTGGGAGATCTTGAAAATTTACTAGAATTAAGGTTTTAATTCCAATTCTTGCGTTTGGATGCATAAAAAATTGGATACTTTAGAATTGAAATTAGTTTGTTATTGTATAACTAATAATAGTACAATTTGTACTTCTTGTCAAAAACTAAAATTAAAAAAAAAAAAAAAACCTTAATTTATTATGGATATATATAGCACAAAAAAATAAATAAATTCATTTTGTACATGTATATTTGACTACTTTGTGGTTTTTTAACTAATACAATTTTTACTTTTTTTTGTTAAAACAAATTATTGTTTTTAATTAATTTGCTATATCATTTTTGTAATTTATGATGTACACATTTTTGTTAGAAACAAAAGAAATATTGTGACTTAAAATTCTCGCTTAATACACAAATAAGTAAAATGTGAAACATCCTTGGTTTCATCTCTTATTATTTTTCAAAATTTTTAATTTTTGATGTTTTGATTTATATAAAAAATTTAAAAAAATTTATTATATAACATTGTAAATTTAGTTTATGAATATTAAGGTTTATTTATGAATTTAGTTTATATAACATTGTAAATTTAGTTTATGAACATTAGCATATAATATATGCTTAAATTTTTTAATTTTTAGTATATAATTATATATGAAATAATACATACTTAAAACTCAACTTACATAATTTTTGGAGAAAAGATACCATGAATAGTTTAAAATATATATATGTATATGTATATGTATATATATTATACTATAGGTGTATATATGGAACAAATTTCTATAAAAAAAATTTGAAAATGTTATATTATTTACTATGTCATAATATAATAAAAATTTTAACCCAAAACTAAAGTATTTAGTTAATAAATTTTTTTTGGGTACAACTATATTTTTAATTTTTTTTGTAAAAAAATACAATGTTAATTTTAGTTTAAGTTTGTTGATAATTATTAATTGATATATATGAAATGATAATAATAATAATAATGAGAGAAAGAGACCAAAAAAAAAAAAAGAAAACCAAAGAAAAGAAGTAAGCGATGAAAGCCCCGAAAAAAAAAATTTAAAATAAAAAAAAAAAATTTTAAAAAAAAAGCAAAAGGCAAAAATTGAGAAGGCGACCCGTTTAGGTTATAACCCGGAAACGACCCTGTTGTGACCCGCGTTCCTTTTTAAGTCCCTTGAATTTGGATTCCAATTATTTGCTCCCACAAAAGAATTGAAAATAAAGAATTGAGCCTTATATTGAATTATAATTCTAATTCTTGGACCTCTATTTTTAGCAACCAAACACAAGAATTGGAATTAGATCCAATTCCAATTCTTGGTCCCAATTCAATGCAACCAAACAGAGCCTTAATAAAATTTGATCACCAAAACTCACTTATAGTTTCTAAAAATACAATAATAATTCCCAAAAAAATGTGAAATTAACAAAATTGTCATTTTCTGTTTCCCCCTTTTCTACTTTTTTTTTTTGGTTAGATTTCTTAAAACATATTGTATCATTATATATATTAAAGGAAAGAAAGATAATCGACACGTGTCGCTCATTTAGATCATAAATATGTTTGGTAACACATATCATTATTTCATTGGATGGACATTAATCAGTAAAAAAAAACTTTGGACGTATATCAAAAACACCCCCAAGCTTTGAACCATTATCAAAAACACCCTTGCCTTTTGGAGAAATATCGGCAATCTCCCTTGACCAGCAAACCCTGCCAGTCAACCGGTGAAACATACGAAATGACTAAAACCCCCCTCAAATTCCGGCAACTCCTTAATAAAATTAATGCTCTTTTTCGGAGTTTTGTTCGAAACAAATTCTTCACCGTCGATAAAGGCTCCTTTCGCCGTCACCTTCAAATTCTTCTCTTCTTCTCCTCTTTTTTTATGCCGGTTTAGGACGGTTAAGGAAAAACAAATATGAGTAACTTGCGATCAGAAATGGCTTTTTTTTTTTTTTTTCTCAAGCACACACGATTCAGAATCGCGAGAAAAAAAAATTTCTTCTTGAAACCCTTAAGGCAAAACAAAATTGGGCCGTATATGTTTTTTAAACAAGAGAATGATTAATATCATTTATCATTGCATCTAAAATGATAAGCTACAAAGTGGAGATACATTTCAGGAAGTAAATTATTTTGGCTCTGTTTTTGGCTCTGTGGAGAAATTACAATTAAGAATTAAGGTTTCTTCGGTGAATTCCAACCCAAGAATAAGCTTTGCCGCAGGGTTTTTCTAATTTCTGTACGCTAAGGAGGAGATGATGATAATGATTTATTGAGGAGATAAGACTGATGAAGATGGAGATGATGATGATAAAGGGTGATAAGGGGAGAGAGAGAGCGGCTGAAGGAAGAGGGAGGAGGAAAAGAAAAATATCAAGGGCAATAGTGTCTGCACACAAATTCATTTGCTGATGTCGCATGGCTACATGGGTGCATCATTTTTTCTGTTGATGTAAGAATTGACTAGCTGGTCCAAGGATTTTCTTGATATTTCTCCCAAAAGGTGCAGGTGTTTTTGATAATGGACTGAACCTCGGGGTTGTTTTTGACATTCGCCCAAAAACTTATGATAACTTGGTTATTCTGTTGGATTACTTTTATGATTTACCTTGCTATAATCCACTAAATTACTTTTTAAGAATATTTACTTAGGTTACTTTAATTATTTTAATATTCAGTATCAAAACAAGTATTAAATATGGAAAAAAAAATCCTACTGATCCCGGGAAGAAAAATGAAATAGTTGAACGACGAGTCGACGAACTCTGTTCTGATCTCAAACTCTCTGATTCCGGCATGGATAGAGTGAATTGAGATATGGATTTTGTGGAACTCATCACAGGGATCATTTTGGCATAAAGAACAATGAGTTTTGTGCACCAAAATACGAGATTAGAGTTCAACGGGCGGCGGATCCCTTTGGCCGATAAATTCTTTTTCGAAAGATAGAAGATGATAAGTTTTAAAAATTGCTAAAAAGCCCCAACCTCCAGAAACTCTTGCATGTAAAAGTTTAAACTTTCAAGTAGTTATCAATTCGGTCCTTCAATTTTCATTGATGTGCTACTTAGTTCTTCAAATTCATGAATTATACATTTTTAAGGACATTAATTATACATGTGTGCCTCATATGTTATCCTTTTGATTGTGGGCTAAATTAAAGCTGGTCTAAAAGTAAAATAATTGATGCAAATAGCAAAATAACGTAAAGGAAAGTTTTTATTTAGGGTGTTTAGATTTTAAAATTTTTTAGAAGGGTGTTAAATTTTTCAAATTCTTATCAAGGGCATAAAATTAATTTATTGTGTTAAATATATTATGGATTACATTTATGCCCTCTTTTTATTGAGCAATTTAATTTTCCTTTTTTACATAATAAGGGTAGATTACATCCTTCTTCTTCACCTTCTCATCTTGCTCATTCTTCTTTTTTTTTTTTTTTTTGGCACCCAATTATATAAAAATCCTTCTTGATTTTTAGGTGTGGAAGTGAAAAACTAAAAATTTCTTTCTTTTTTTTTTCACCCAATCATATAATTAGAATCTTTTTCCATGTCTATTTAGGTAAGCTAAAAACTAAAAATTAGATAAATCTATCTAATAATGATAAAACATCAAAATTCATATTCTAAATTGTATTTTATACATGCCCAATCCTATTTCCAAATAATGAACTTCCTTTCCATGATTTCTATGATTGAGCTTTAAAAGAGAGAAATTCATCCTTATCATGATTTGAACCATTTCTCAAAAATTAAAAATCAAGGTTCTTCAATGGATCTCTCATGAAGTTTAAAAAGGAAAATAAATCTTATTTGGTTAGCATTATATAAAAAATTAATGTGTCATTAAGGAAAGAATTAAATTGGTCATTTAATAACGTAATACATTTTTTTGAATAAATGTTGTTTTCATT